GACAGTCCCAAAATCTCTAACTTTGATTTGAACTAATGAAAACTCTTTTTTTTTTTTTTTTTTTTTTTTTTTTTCCTCTGTAAATTGCATGTGACCTTAGCACAATTCTTTTTGTTTTGGTTTTATTCTTACTGTTGTTGCAGAGGTTTAGTGGACAATTTGTGTACTTTTCCCTGAAGCAGTTAGTAAAAAAAGATCAAGGCAGGTTATAATATTCTTTGCCTGACTGCAAGTTCTGAGGTTACCAAAGTAACAGAAATGAACTAAATGTCATGTTATTCCTTGGCTTAATGGAAAATTAATTAAGATCATCACTGACTTTATTGAAAGATGTAAGTTTGGTGCCTGAAGAATAAGAGGTTTCTTTTTAATCTCCTGTAAAAATGTGCAGCACTTCTCTATTATTAAGTGTTGTATACAGGCATATAATCCTGAACATGATGACTGTTTTTCTCCTTCTTCATCATGCTAGCAAATTACAGAGTCTTGGGCGGTTTGCACTGGAGGTTTTGGTCCATTGGCTGATGAGCAGACGTAAAGTTCAGAGATTGGTTTCACTTGGCTATTGCATTGACCTTTCATTCCTTCTGATAAACTTCACTGGATGGAGGAGTAAAACCAGATAAAAGCAGGTGCTCTGAAAAGAGGGGACAATAATGACAGCTCTTTAGGTGAAGTACCCCAATACAGAAGCACTGTGGAGGGGTAGAGGCTGGGTGTAGGTGATGGCTCTCTCTGGCATGCAGGCATTCAGACTTGGCTCTGGCCATCTCAAGTCTCAGGTCACCTTCTGGAAATCACAGTCTGGTGGGGGCAGTTCAGCACAGTGTCCTTGACCCACATACAAGCAGGTGTGGTATGGAGGGAGACAGGAAAACGCTGTCCCCTCTGGTTGACTTTCCTGAGCCCTTCATTGGACAGCATGATTTAGTCTCAGGAAACAAATTTATTTTGAAAAATAGTCGACTGTAATATATACTCCCTGACTGTACCACACTTCATGCTTATCACCCAAGAAGTAGGTGAGGCTCTCTGATGCCACTATCTTAAAATCAAACCATTAATGCCAAAATGTGATGATTTACAATTTTTCCAAGCATCCCTCCCTTCCTACCAGTATTAATTGCCCCTCTGCTCTTCCTCCTGCTAAGCTATTTTGCTATTTTAGTACACAGTATTTGTTGAGTACTGCACTAAACATTTGTTGATTTGCAGCATAAAAAAGCTTCAGTTTATGCAAATGACATTGAAATGGTTTTGATTAAGTGACAAATAGTCCATTTTATGATTGCAACTGTTGGCTTTTTGTTTGTTATTTTACAGTTATTTTTGTGGCTATAAATGGCTTTACAAGCTCCTTTCTGGCATTAACGCAGCAATACAGAACTCCCATAACACTGTTTTAAGAATTTAGTAGGGTCACCAAACCCACTTCATAGGAGGAACACATGTATATGCGACATCACACTGTCTTTTTTTTCCTGTGGTAAATCTCCCAGATAAATCAGAATCTCCCTGTACCTAGCAGTTTATCTTCTGTTTTAGTTACTATGTCTTTGGATGACAGTTAGGCTTCATGTCCTTTTCTTTATTTCCTCTTCCTCTCTGCTTCTGACACATTATTATTTTTTCCAGTGACTGTACCAGAACTCCAGAATCCCATAGCCCCCAAGAGTAATTACAGATACATTACTGAGCAATCCCCGCAGGTAGGTTGGGTCAAGTGGTTTATGTTTCTACAGGTCAGCTATCGAGGAGTGTGGTTGACCTTACTTCCTCCATAGCTGCCTAACAAGATGGAATTATTTGTGTCACCCAAGTATTTGTGCAGTAGCTGGAGGCTGGTCCTCTCCCGAGTCTGGAGTACGCAGTACCCAAGTAGGGTTGACAGTGGTCATTAATGGAAAATGTGAGGCCCCCAAGAAGATTAAAAATCAAATGAAAACGCCTAGGATGAGTGTGGACTATAGCTGCATGAGGAGTGAAATGAACATAGTTTGTATCTTTGTCTGATATAGGGTTCGATGACCTACATGCTTGTGCTGATCCTGGAGCTCCTGAACATGGATACAAGACACCCAGTGCAGGTGTCTTCTTTGAAAGTGTGGTAGTCCGGTTTCATTGCCAAGAAGGATACAGGCTTAATGGTACTTCAAAAAAACTTTGTGTGAGACACTTTAATGGCTCCCTGAGCTGGAAACCAAGTGATAAACCTGTGTGCCTACAAGAAGGTAAGTCAGTTTTCTTAAAACAATTCACCAGTGTCAGTGCTTCACACTTGTACATGTATCGTGTCCATGTGTCTCTGCACAAGACATAGAAGACTGGAATATATTTTATTAGATCATATTTGATACACACTTTAGTTTCCCATACATCCTGTCTGTCCATTGAATTTGTACTGTGGGAGGTTTTGTGTGTGTGTGTGTCTGTGTGTTGAAAGGGACATAAAAGAATCTTAAAAGAAAAAAGAAAAAAAAAAAAAAGAAAAAAGAAAAAAAAAGATAAAGTTCTACTTTTACAGTAGTTACAAATTGATGCAGAGACAAAAAAAAACAACAACAACAACAACAACAAAAAACCCTTCCATGATCAGCAAACTGTTTATAACTATTTGTTAAAGCTGTCCGCATAATATTGCTTTCTGTAATATCTTACTAGGAAAATATAATTAATTTCCAATGCTACTACTCCTTTTAATGAGAAGTTTTAAACAATTGTGTTTTATGGCATGTGCATGATTCAAGTAAGTACATCAAATATGCATGGAATGCAGAAGTTTAAAGTCATTGGAGAAATTTACTTTGAGGTAAATCAGACTGCTCTGGCATAAAAGAACTTATTTTTATTATAGTGTGTTTTGTGTTTTTTTTTGAAATTGTATTTGATTTTAAATATTTAGGACATTAAATTACTTTCTTCTTTGAGGAATTTGATAGAAGCAAGACTAATCTGAATATCATAAATACACATTTTGGCCAAAAACACCCCCAAGCAACATGAACGATTTATTTCACCAAGTATATTAAAGCTATAACTTGTTCTTTAGGTTGACTTATTTTGGTCAATAGATCTATGAAAATCAACAGACATGAAAAGCATTACTTAAATTAAGTGTGTATATTTTAGTATTGTGACACCAGCACAATTCACAGAACTATTTGAAGATGTGAAATCATTAGCAATGCCTCACTGATTTCAAGGTGGAGCAAGATAAACTCTATTTCAGGAGGCCTTCTGTCATTTAAAATAAGATAAATGCTCACACTTCATTCAAAACTAGACACTTATGTGGCTCATAAACACACTTACTATATCGGATTGTGCATCTCTCAGTGTGTACAAAAACTGCAAATACTTGTTTATGGTGATAGGTGGGTAAGTATGAGAACCCAGTGACAGGACAGTGACAAGGCCTGGGGAGATGAGGCCAAGGAGATACATAGGAAGGGGTCACCCCTGAACAGTGGTCTGCATGAAAGTGATACATGAAATATTTGAGAGAGTAGACAAAAATAGTTGGTAAGTGGTCCATCGTCTTTCAGGTAGCTGCTCTGTTGGACAAGCAGAGGTCTTGGTAAAATATAGATTCCTGAATGTACTTGAGGCCACAGGCAACAGAGTCATAAGGGACACAGTCTTGAGCTGTCTTGTAGTATGCACTGAGACTACAGGTAATTTGTAGAACATAAAGGCAAGCAGGGCTAATAACACCTGCTCATAAATTGTGTGGGAATGTGCTGTCAGCTTTGAGGGTGATTATAAAAAAAACAAGCCTAAGGGAGATTGAACAGTACAGTTCCTAACTGATGGAGTAGCCATCTGGGGTAGAACCCGATATGGGATACACATGTCAGTGCATCATTCAGGCAGGACACCTCTTCAATGTGCCTTTGGGGAGCTACAATGCAGTTGTCTTATCAGGAATGCTCCTGGGAACTTCTGGAAAGTATAACAGAAGTATGATCCATCCAAAATTTGCTAGGAGAAATCATTGACACGGAGACCATGACACCAGTTAAAAAGCTGGATCTACTTTAAAATGAGATTTAACATCAGAAAAATAGACAAACAGGTTGGTTGGAGAAGGTGCTTGGAGGGAAAAGCTAGGGTTTAGGGGAAAGTTGTAGGAGGAAGTCCAAATGACAATTGTGACTGCTGCTCTCAAGAGGGAACCAGCTGTGCAGTGCAAGCACATCCTGTGGTTAATTGCCCTACTTCCAGGACTGAGTGACTTTCACTTCATTTTCAAAGATGAAATTACATGTGATTTTAAGGAAATTCATAGATCATAGCTGACAGAAATTGCTTTGATAAGAAATAACGGAATAGTAGTCATTTTATCAGGTGATGCTGGCCAAGAAACTGATACTTAGACTTCAGGCACATACATAGATGGGATGAAATCTTGGCAATTGAGTACAATTCACAGAATTATTTGAAGATGTGCTATATCCTATGTCAAAACTAGTGCAACATCCTACCAAAACGTGGGCATGAATTACCTGCCTCACTAATAAAATGCATGCCCATTGAAAATTGTGTCCTCGATTCACGTAGCCACAACTACTATCAGGCTGATAAAAGGAGGAAAATGGTATCAAGGCACAGGTACATAGGAGCTTGAACAGTGTGCCATACCATGGTACAATCCATTAACAAACCACAAAGTATAGTGATTGAGTTACTAAAATAGAACCTGTATCAGCCACTGCAGTTGTTACAGTAAGCATTAACACACTTTATTGAATATTCATTGAATATGACCACTTCCCTTTTCCCCCTCAGAACAGTGGAAATCTGTGGAAGAAAAATTCAGATCACAATGCCATCAACAGCAAAACTGACACTAATATCAGTGTGATCAAAATTTGATTCAGGTGTTTTTAAAAAAGAAATTGGAAGATGAAGATATGATGGATGATGTGGCAACAGCTGCTTAAGAGATAATCATTAATTTATAGCACAGAACACTTTAAAACAATTGTAAGCTGAAGCTCTGATCAAGCAAAGTACTTTAGCTAGAGCATAACTGTAATTATGTGATTAGTTATGTTAAAGTTCTGTGCTGAAAATTAGGCATACACAAAAATACTTGTTATTATTGACTGAAGAGGAGCCCCTGATTTAGGAGTTAGTGAAGCAATTGCATAAGTACGTTCCTGATTAACGGTGCTTCTCTCAGGTATTATTAAAACAATCCTAGGGTTTAACACTGGAAAAAAAGAAAAAGAAAAAATAAGATAGAATGAATTCTTATTTCCAATGTACGATATAATCATGACTCAACAGAAATACTAAGCAGAGGTTCAATGAGCCCTAAGCATTTACTGAAGTGCTTTTAGAGTGACCTTTTTTTGCACTGGGACCAGAATCATGAGGAAGGAGCATGATGTGGAGGTGGTCAGCACAGGAGTGTGGTACATCTGCAGAGCAGCCAAGGAGGAGTTACAATGGTGTTTAATTCTCAGCTATCTAATGATGTGCGTAGAAGTCCTCATTGCAGAAATTCTGTAATGATATAAGAAAAGAAATTTGAAATTTGTAGCATCTACTGGTAAAGTAGTAAATTAACATTTTAACATTTTTCATTAGCTATCTTGGGATGAAATAAACTTTATATTATATTTTCCCAGTTAAGGCAGAGATTGATTGCCATGTTTGCTGTGATACACTCTACATGCCTCTGAAGCTATTACAATACATGTACATGTAAATGTCATATACTGCCATCTGATCTTGAACAGCAAAAACACTCCATACTTTGCAGTTCATTTTAAGTCAATCTCGGGAGTTTGCTAAGGGTAGTTACATGTAATTTTATAGTTTTATGTTATGTGCATATAATTGTCTTTATCTGCTTACTAGAACAGTATCACAAAATAATGCTATTTACAAGAGGAAGAAAAACAACCCATTTCAGAATGCAATTTATCTTAAAAGTGCTCGTCATTGAATTAACTTGATTTTATATGTCTGTCATTTTTTGTTAAGTGGCAGGAGATTATAAGTGTCAGTACAAGAGTAAAGTTGCATGAGCCGGTACCCAATAAATGCACTGTCAGAAATCTGCGTGCTTAGAGTTATGTTCTCATGTTGATCTACAGCCTGTTGTGAATGTAACTTCCATCAATTCTAATGTGGCTATACACATAAATGCCAAAGCTCTAAGGTAGGAACTTTGTATTTACTGTTTAAAAGGAATATGTCATGTTGTTCACACTTTAATCTAATCTTCTCCCACTGTGATAATGTGGCTGCTGAGACTGTTGCCCTACTTGGAACAAATGCTTCCTCTTTCCTATGAGATTGAATCTAAATTTTCAGTCTGTGTGGGGACAGCAACTAAACTAAGAGCTGTACCCTGCTCCCCACCATGCTTCCACAGGCAGACGCCTTCAAGATGTCCTCAGTGCCCCATTCTCCCACTGACAGGGATGATTAACTGGCAGTAAAAGTAGTGGACTAGAGCATGGTTTAGCTACAATTTTTCTGTAGGATCTTTAGCACTCATTTCTCTTTGCCTTTGTCCCTGGATTTGTGAGATTATTTACTAATTTATTTATGTATCTCCATCTCTTAACTTTCTTGCCTGGTGTTTTCTGTCAATTCCTAATCCTGGCTACAAATGTCCCATGATTCATGTAACCTGTGCTTACTGCAAGGGCCACTGCTCTTAGGCAAAGCTGCTGTGCGCTGTTGGGATACAAGCAAAGTCAATAAGGAGAAGGCATTGTTTAATATGCACTGAAATACTGTATTTACCATCTGCAGAATGATCATACTAACACAGTACTGTGCGTTTAATAATACTGAAAGGAAAGAGACAACCTGAATTTTAAATGTTTGTTTTTAAGAGGGCAGGGTCCAGACAAGCTGTCCCTGCATTCAGTGCATTCTTCATGACATTCCTTTCATCCTTTCTCCCCATTCCTTTCCATTCCAGCCTGTCAGTATTGATGCTGGATGTGGTGAAGGCCAATTCAGAGGCCATTCCACGAACACATAGGAGCACTGGATCTCTTTGGATTTGAGTTCACGTATAGATTAGTAAAATAAATGGTGCTAAAGCACAGGCAGGGGCGCTGTTTTGCAATTGCACATACTGTTACAGTGTTAGAAATGTCCTGATAAGGTTTTGGCCAACACCCCAAGTGATTCCTATGAGCACCTCCTTGTTTAGCCTGGGCCGAGGGTAATTCTGGGAGGGTAAGAATCCACCTGCATAGACTCAAGCCATGCCAAGCCAGCTGGTACCCATGAATGGTTTGTCTATCTCCATTTCATCCAGGTCATGCCTTTCTTCTGGGTTACCTTTATGCTCTAGGTGCTCTTTTGAGGATAGAAGGTGGTCCTCCTTCCCTGTGGGCTGGATAAAACAGCTTTGAGATGATGCACATAAACTGAAGCATTACAACTGTAGCATTTAACAAATTTTACAATTCACACCAAAAAAAATATCCTCCTGTGACAGGTGGGAACATGGGTCCCTGAAGTCAAGGAGTCCTAATGTACAAAGCAGCATCTTCATCTTTACAAGTCCTACGAGGAGCAGCTGAGGGAGCTGGGGTTGTTTGGTCTGGAGAAGAGGAGGCTCAGGGGAGGCTTTATTGCTCTCTAACCTGAAAGGAAGGTGTGGGGAGCCGAGGTCAGCCTCTTCTCACAGATAACTAGTGACAGGGCTAGAGGAGACAGCCTCAAATTGTGCCAGGGGAGGTTCAGGTTGGAAACGAGGAGACATTTCTCCTCAGAAAGAGCAGTCAGGCATGGGGACGGGTTGTCCAGGGAGGTGGTGGAGTCACCGTCCCTGGGGGTGTTCAAGGAGAGGTTGGACGTGGTGCTTAGGACATGGTTTAGTTGGTAGTAAGGGATGGCTGGACTACATGATCTTGGAGGGCTTTTTCAACCTTAATGATTATGTGATTCTATGATTCATGAAAGTTAGGCCAAGATGATCATTGCAGCTGGCAAGATACAGGGCCTGCCAGCTACCCCTACCCAAGAACTGCTGCCTTTGTGCCTCTGGAAGATAAGAAATGTGTTCTTAGCTAGGGTGTGCACTTGGCTGAGACATTGTAATATTCCCACATTAGATACAAGCAGTTCATGTAAAACTCCCAGAAAATAAGTTGTAGCCATTGCTGTTTGATGCTGGTTAAAGACTGTGTACTCCATTAAATTGTTTAGCAGCCTTCATGGATTTGCTGAACAGTATTTAGAATAAAGCAGTTTATTTTCTAGGACAGGACATTTTAAAATTCAGTCACTTATCCTCAGCTTTTCCAAACAGAATTTGTGCCAGCTAATCCAGTTGCTTGCAGAGAGAGGGCAACTGCAATTTATTCCTGGATAAGTGCTAAACAATACAAATTCAGCCAGCAGGAAACCATTTGTTCACAAGACATCAGGAAAAAGAGCTGCAATATTGTCCTATGTTAGTCCTGTGCTTATCTGGGTCTTGTAATAGACCTGTTATCAAAACCCTCCAGGACACATCCTGTTCTCCACCAACATCTGTCTGATTAAAATAGTTCTATCTATAGCTGTTATTTGGAACAATGAGAACGAAGTCACTGTAATAGATCTTTGTTACAGAATCAATTTCCCCCACTTTGAAAGTGAAATCTCAGATGTTACTGCAGTGTATATATACGTCTTTATTTATTTGTGTAGCAACAGAAAGCTGCTGTGCCAAGAGAGTGAGCTGTCCATCGATATTATCTTCTGTTATCTGTCTCAGACCTCCTCCAGAGGGGTTTCACAGCAGGATCTCTATACATCTTATCCCAGCCTTGTAGGCACCCAGGGCAGGATCTGAGGGACAGCATCCAAGGCTTAACATCAGGCATTTCTTACGGGGCATCCTCTGCTGTCTCCTCTGCTGATTAACTTGCCAGAGAGAGAAAAAAATGTCCAGTCTTTGAAGACAATGCCTGCATCCTCAGCCTAGTGCATTTTATAACTTTCTGCTAATGTACACATCCTCCCAGATTTAGGCATGTATAAATGAATACGCTATACTACAAGAGAAACAAGGACATTTTTGACTAATACGTCCAGTCTTCAAACTAAAATTTAGTAGGTACAGTGTATTTTAGAAACCATCCCTAAGTAAAGGTACAGTGGAAAATATATTTTAACTGGGGAAGCAACACTCCTCCACGTCATATTAGTAAAATTTTTGATTGAGTCTCATAACAACAACCTACTTTTTGCCTAAATAAATGAAGACATTATGAAGCATATTTGCTTTTGTTAGTTTGCATGTGCTATGCTAAATTACAGTTTATCTTGCTTCAAGCTGTGCTTCTAATCAAACAAAAAAGTTGTTTCTATTGCTTTACTTTGTGCATGCTCACAACTAACTGCTAAAAACAAATTTAAGCTACCTCTACTTCTTTAGAAAGAATTACCAGTGAAAATAGCAGAAACTTTCTCTTTCATGTAAGTCTCAAAGGACTTCTGAAACTTCTTTTTTTTTTAATATATATCACATTCCTAAATGAAGATAATTGCCTCTTGTGGTAGAATTATTTGAAAAAAAATCATAAAACAGGCTTATAATATTTTGATTTCCTTGCTATTATTTGAACCACTGTGGGTTTTGATGCCTGGAAATTTATCATCATCATCTGTGTCATGGATTGGCTGCTGGCAGACATACAGATAATTCTGATTATATTTCCCAATATTTAATCTTTTCCTCTCTTCTGTTTAATCTCACTTTGCATTTATGAGGAAGATGAATCTGCAGTAACCTGGGCTATTTCTTCATATCCTCTTGGCATATCTCTTTCAGTATTAGCAGAATATTTTTAACTGTGCCTCACCCTTTCCTTCCACTTCCCACAACATATTCCATTTTTAAGTCATCTGGATTTCATTTTATACTTTGGTGTCTTTGGCACTGGCACATAGTTTGAGTTGCAATAGTGTAATGTAATAGATTCATGTATCACAGACAGGTAAGAGAGCCCATGCCTGTATATCAGCAGAGATTTGTAGTTATTTCCCTTTTTGAGAGTATTTTTAAAGCACAAGCACTTGAGTTGGTGCTGAGTGCCTTAAAAATCACACCCTCTAAAGGCATATGAATTCAAGCACATAAAATTACCTGATTTAAAACAGAATCAATGAGATTAACATGAAAACATTCTCATAATGAACTCTGTGGAATGTAATCCCTTCTAGCTGTACCTGATTTTCATTCCGTCTCTCCACTAACAACTGTTTTTCCTTTGTTCCTCTTGCCATATCTGTATTTTATCTCTTCTTTCATCCTGTCCTTGGTGCTGTCAAAGAGTTTGACTTCATATGGACTGTCGTGTAGTCAGACTGTGCTGTGTAATTTACAAACATGATGAATAGAAAGAGAAAATTAAAAACAGTCTTCCTAAACTCTCTTAATTGTGTTTGTTTGAAAACATCTGGGGTAATGATCCATTATTGTAACACAGCAAATTCTAGCATTGTGATATAGACTTTGTAACTGATGGTTAACTAGGGAAAGTATATATTAACTGAAATGCATTTTGTCCAAATGGTTTAAGCAGAGCACTTACATTAACTATTAACTTTTGCTTAAGAGTTTGATTATTGAATAGCTAGACATGTTATTTTAATTAAGTTAATTTCTTTCTTTATGAAGTCACAGATTGCCTTGTTCCACATGTTGAAGATGCAGAGATTCATAACAAGACTTACAGGACTGGAGATAAGTTAATAATCAGCTGTCATGAAGGATTCCAGATCCGTTACCCTGACTTAGACAACATGGTTTCAATTTGTCAAGACGATGGAACTTGGGATAATCTGCCCATTTGCCAAGGTTTAGTACACCAGAACATCCTGTTTTATAGCTCATGCACCTTGTGATAGCTTGCCAATATTTTTTTCATACAGTTGTAAGGATGTCAGTGGTCTTATAAATCCCGCTGTACAGTATTTGAACAGCACTACTTTTAAGATTTTTTGATTTCTCCTCCCCACTGCTCATGGCAGGAAAGAAGATGACACTTTAAGAACACAACCATACTTGAAGTATTACTTCAGATATTGTTTTTAATTTGATAGTTTAAAGTCTTACACAGGTACATTGCATTTTAAAAATAAATCAAGTTTAAATCAGAATATCAGCAAAAGATCTGATGAGCAGCTGACATGTTTGTACAAATTAATTTACGGAAACATTCAAGTTTCTAACTGCAATTTACCTTTGTTTGTCTTGTGCAGTGGGCACAAGTAGAGGAGAGAAGATGCTGGAACCTGTTTGTCTCTCTGAGTTTTCAGCAGAATTGTTAGTCAGATTCACAGTCCATTAAACTGATAGGTATTGACTGAAAACAGAGAGTTTGAACAGGAATGATTTTGGCCAGAAAATCTATTCATAGTTGAACTTGTAGTATTAACAGTTTGAGAACCCAGCTTTGCTTAGACTGAGAAGTGCTGGGGTAAGCCAACTTTAGTGAATGAGAGCTTAATAACCCTAGTCTGCTATTATTTCACATTTCTGACATGCCTGTCTAAGTACTTTAACCTATTCAAGTTTGGCCAGCTTGAACAGCATCAAAAGAATTTAACTGTCTGTGCTAAGGAGAAGACTGGGTTAACAGGAGCTTTCATTTCTATGTGACAGTTCCCAATAGGCACTTAAGGACAATGCTGTCTCTTGCAGCAGGGAAGCTGAAACACTTCTCAGAAGTGACGGTGGCAGGGTGATACTCAAAGTTTGGTGTGTCAGCTGGAAGGTGATAGCATTCATGGGTGCCACCCAGAAGTTACAGGAGCTTACTTTTATGTGTGTCCATAGTTAGGACTGTCAGTTTGGGACACATCCACCTATGTCCCATGGTGTTCTTTTAGACTGTGGTACATGCATGGAGACATTTAGGCACATTAGTTCTGAAGTATTTTACCAGCAGTGACATAGTGTGTGGCAATAGAAAGAAAGCAAACCATTTTTGAGAGTAGGTTCACCTTACCTCATCTCAGGGGTTGCAGCATCTTCACAGGCCAGTTCACCGTTCCCTAAGACAGACGCTGAAAAATAAGACTTTAGGTAATTAGGGTAGGTTAAGACTCCTCCAGTTAGGTGAGGTGAACACTCATAAGATGGATTTGTAAGTACTGTATTTGCGAAAGGTTCAGGTGGAAATTTCATGATAACCAGTATTAACTGGGATAACAGAACTACCCCCTGACTTTTTACTTTCTTCTGTGGCTGTATTTATACTATGAAACACAATCAATTGCTGCTACTCAATATTCAATGTCAATTGCTTTTAGAAATAATGGCAGCACTAATAAAAATTACAAAATAATTGCACAAGAAGAAAGTGCTTTAGCTACTAGACCAGTACAGAATAGAAGATTTAGATTCCAATATCTGTCATGTTTTGCCAAATTCTATAATCCTGTTCCAGAATTATTTCCAGAATTTTCTTTTGGCCATATTAAGCACTAATGCTATAAAAGTCATTCGTATGCTTGCACTTAGTAGGCTGTTAATTGCATTTACATGGCCATTTGATTAAAACAGGCAGGAGTTTTATGACACTAAGACATTTTTTTTTCTGGTTGAGCAGTGGGAGAGGACTGTAGAGCATATAGGAATCAAGCCACAAACTATTTTTGGCATGAGAGAGTCATGATAATGACTCTGGATAATTAATCTGGAATGATGTGAATTTCTTAGCAAAAATTGTCAAAATGGAGTTTGCAGCACCTGGAGATGTTTGGAGACCTAGGGATTTTCACAAACCCTTAGATCTCCTAAAAATTCCAGTAAATCTTGGTCCTGCACTGCAGAGACCCCAATAAGCATTAAAATATTGAGCCAATAGGGCAAAACCTGCCCTGATACAGTTCAGAGGACAGCAAACCTGGTCTTGCTTGGGCAGTCAGCATTCCTTCCGTCTGTCCCATTGTAGGTTGCTTATATCATCCTGCTCAGCGGACTGCTTGGTTTGCAGGAATTGACATGTTACGTGTGGGGCATATGTAATCAGGGGTATGAGCAGTTACCAGCAGGCAGAATGCCCAAAGATTTATTTGAGCACGGAGTAAACTAGTACAAAAGTTGCCGAAAACATTGCTCTGATAGTACAGTGTACTTGAAAAAGCTTTCAAGCTTTTTCTGTTTGCTTTTGCTCTTGACCCTCTTCTTCAATTGACCGTTGCAAGGAAATAACCACATAAAATGCTGCAGAGACTTTTTCTTTATAGATACTAGCTGGGCATCCATAGTAGTGTTAGCATCTTACAAGAGGTTCTCAGACTGATTTTTGTTCCCCCCTCAGACACAAATTATGTGAATTGCTCTGTGTTTATCATGTGACTGCTCATAGTAAGTAACATCGCTTTAGACTTTCTCAAATTGGAACTTCAAAATCATTAATTCTGTCTGAAAATCTTTTACAATTGTGTACACGTTGTCAGAGAAGCGGTTTTAATATTGAAGAAAGTTTACATGACTGCTTTAGGAGGAGGAATAAAACTTGTGGTTTATATAGGTGGCAATCTTTATTTATTAAGGATACTAGCACAAAAAGAACAATTGCCATCTGCTAAAGCAGTGAATGTTTGTGCAGCAAAATACTGTAATTTTCAGTAAACCTTTCTTGAATTTGCTGAGACTGAATCCCACACTAGCAAACTGTGGGGGTTAAACAATAAAAGAGTTTGAAACAGGGTAACGAAGCATACATATCTGAGGGAGATTATGCAGCCATGCCATTCACAGAAGAGAATATGAAGGAATTCTTAAATTGAAGGATTATTATTATTATTATCAGGATGTGTTAAGATGACTAAGATAAGCACCTTATAATAAAAGATACCTCCCTCTTCTTAATTTGCAGGTTGCCTGAGGCCATTGGTTCTTCCTCATAGTTACATTAACATATCTGAGTTCGAGTCCTCCCTCCCAGTAGGAACAGTGGTGTATTACCAATGCTTTCCTGGATATAAACTAGAAGGGGCAGAGTTCCTTGAGTGCATGTATAACCTTATCTGGTCAGATAGCCCACCTAGGTGCCTTGATGTGGAAGGTAAATGTCTTATTGTTTGTTTATCTTGCTTTTAATTTTGCAAAGCAGCATGCTCACTATGACTTTAACGCAGGGCTATGGCTGCACTTCCGTTATATGTCTTCTTTCTGCAGGCTATGCAGAATATACCTTTTTTTTTTTTTTTTTTTTTTTTTTTTTTTTTTCCCCGCATGCACTCAGTTCTGGCTCCCTGCACAGTCAGCTGTTGGGGTTCTCCATCTAATGTTTCTTCTCTTGGTGTCCTCAGTGCAAGATTGGAAGTTCTTAACAATGGTGGTTGCTTTGCTTTGAAAATGTGAATTCTTTGCAGCTTTTCTAATGAAAATACTGAGGGAATTATGGAACACACATTCATCTACAGGTGGTCAGTGGTTCTATAGGTACAGACAGATTTCCATGTGAAACAAAAAATGTTCCATGCAAACTCTTGGATTGGGCTGTGTCAGCTGCAAACATTATTCAGTGACACATGATGCTGCACACTTGAATATTTGTTGTCTCTCATAGCAGTTAACCTTAAGGATTTGCAACCAAAGTGATTGACTTTACTGATTAGGAACATGAGAATCGTGGCCAGAGTGCAATGGATCTTACCAATCCAAAAGGAATAGTCTGTAACTACAGCTGCAGTGCTGGAATGTAGGATATTGTAAGGGTATTTATATTTGCATCCCATACATTTAAAACAAAGACACTGAATGGACTACTCCATACGTTAGCAAAGCCTTGAGGATTACCTTGTGCCATCTTCATTCTGCACCTCAAATAAAACATCCCAGGAAGTTATCAGAATCCAAATACATCCTCTGCATTTCATGCACCTAAAAAAGGTATATTTTAGCTGTTTCAAGCCTGTAAGGTAGATATCTATAAGTAGAATTTAGCTGAAAGCAGTAATAGGAATATATGTGTGGTGCCTTTGTCAGGGAGCTAAATGCTAAACAACCTGGGAATGCAAAAATTTGCCAACAGCGTCAACAAAGTGATATACTACATAAAAGTAATACAGTGATTCCAAACTAAAAATGCCTTTGCAATTTTGGAATGATACAATGATTTTTTTTGTTTGTTTTCTTTTGTTTGTTTATTTTTTATTTTGATTTAGCATACCATAAAAGATTAATTGCAGACCAGATCTATGGAATCCATTTTTCAGAGGTTTGCTTGTTGTTGTTTTTTATATCACAGAAAATATGTAACTTGAAGAATTAGAAAGTCCCTTTTAGCCTTGATCAAGCAAATGTAATAGCTTTGATAAATAATGACAACTCTCTAGTTAGGAAGATAA